GTTTTCAGTTTTTCAGTTTTGACCAAACAAAAAACGCTAAGCACAAAAAGTTTGAGACTGAAACCAAAAAACGATAAGAGCCCCTTATCTGTTCGTTTAGTTGAAATTCAAGAAATTGAATCCGAACTGATAGTCCTATGTATGGCACACTTTGCCATCTTTCATTTTGGTCTTCAGATTATCCAAAATCTTAATTAATTGATTTTTTCATTGTTGCTATGAGGGAAGTAAACATTGATGATGAATTCATTTTTTTTTATTACAAATTAGGTCAGGTGTCAACTACTCTCAGGAAAACTCTTTGTGTTGTTGGGTTAAGCCATTGAAAATCACGAATAGGATACCACAGACAAAGGATATATTCAAGTTCTTTACGTTTGTGAAAATGTAGTAAAGAATTAACTGAACTTTAGCGAGGATGAAAGGGTTTGTCATCTTACCCCATCCCTCACATACACTCAAATATATTAAAAGAAAAGGTCTTTATTATTTGATCAAAGTCGTTATATGTATGACTAGGATGGGAGATTGATTTCAATAACTAAATCAACTCGAAAATAAAAACCGCAAAATTTGAACAAGTAATATCCTGAAAAATGAACTATTAAAAGGCTTAAACGGTTCAATTTGATTTCAAGAAAATGAAACCTGAATAAATTTAATAATGAGGAAAATTCATATGCTAATATATGTTGCTCACTGTGCACATCTTACTTTCTTTTTCTGATTTACAACGTGGTCTTATTGGTGGTTGTTGGTCATGAAACTTAGTGCTTTATATTGCTTTGGATTTGGTCAATTTGTTCCTCTGTTCAATTGTTAAGTTTTGCTACATATATAGTGATTGCTACAATTCTATCATTTTGCTTCCATCTTTACTTGATCGGATTTGTGTATCCAAAGAATTAACTGGTTGATAGAACTTGGATCCAACAAATTATATTATGAATGTTCTTATTTTTTCTTAATATATTAGACTTGCAAGAGACAACGATTAGTGGTGTCTTAAGTTGTATGGACAATGAATTTTTTTTTTGTTAGTGAATTAGAGGTGAGGTGTTGTACATGTTAGGCTTATGAATAATAATCATATGCATGCGTTCACTTTTACTGTTGAATTCGCTTATCATATGGATATGAAATCGCTCTATGTAGTAGTTAATTCATTGTATGTTTCATGATCCAAGTCAAAGTTGTGCTCGATCGATAACCTTCTAACTCTCTTCCTCACTCACAACAAGTTGAATGTTATTATTCAATGATTTTTTTTTTTTTTTGAAATTTTACATGTTTTCTCCAAGAGATTTTATTATATGAGTCATGATGGTTAGGCTTAGCTTTCCTATTTATGCATTGTTCACTCAATATATGTTCATTCCCCCATTTTACCGATGAATAGTAGCTAAGTATTGTTGGAAATCATCACGGACTACAAAAATGGTTAATAATATAATAGATATCGAAAGACATATGAGATATCAACAACTGCTTCACTCTCCATTTAGCGAGAAAGGCCAACTAGATAACAAGAAAATATAATTTTTTTTAATCCCAATTTGTTCGGACCTACCAAGGTTCTAATAAAGCATGATAATAGTTTCTTACACTTATCTCATGTAAATGTAGAATAAGCTTTTTATCAATTTTTAATTTGTTTTATGTTGTTGGACATCTATTGTGTACTTCCTTGTTTTTCTTTCCGTTCGTTAGTTTTAAGGAAAGGAGACCAATAAAATGAACTATGATTAGGGGTCTACACGAATCGGGGTGAGTTAGTTTTGAACCCTCTCAACCATGCAACTCATATGCCTCAGGTCAAGTGATGCACTACCCAAATCGAATTATATGACACATAAATCTATGTGTTTCAGGTGATGCGCGGGTCGAATTGGATTGATACTAGACATGTCTATACATTAACCAGATAGGACTGAACCTCGGTTCATTTTATGTTAATCAAACCAAATTGGTTGGTTATCAAAAATCGAATTGCTGTCATTTTAGCAATTGTAATTGATGTTGTTGCAGTTACTTGAGAACTGAATATTATGATTTTTGGTTATGTTGCGGTTAACTGCGTTCAATCAATTAACCTATTTGTCATTCTTTTTGGTTTAGGTTACCTAATGGGGTAGGCCATTTGGCTTTGGGGTAGTTTAATTTTGCGATTATTTGGAGATTTTGTTTTGCAGTTTGGTGTGCAGTTATACCAAACACCAAAGATTATCTACAACTAAATCTGCAACTATTCTATTCCTTCATTTTATTGTTCTCAATTGACTATTAATCGTAAAATTCGAATCAGACTTCGGTTAGCTTGCCATAACCAAATTTTCTGCCCTATAACCAAAGGGAGTTGCTAAAGGTCGCCCTTAAAATTGCTAAAGGTCGCCCTAAAAAGAATAAAAGTTACACTTTTAACCCCCATAGCTTCTTTACCTTCCCTTCCTCAAACAAACATCACTTGGACTAAAAAAACACTCTCTAAGGAGAGAAAAATCTCTCATCGTCATTTTGAAGCCGATATCATCGGTAGGACGTCTGAATCATGAGTAGCGACTCCGCCGAGGTAAAAACATGAACTGAAAAAAAAAACACAGAAAATGGGAACCGCGGGTGATTTGCGGTCCGGCCATGGTCCAACCCCAGGTCAATTGCGGTCCGCCCATGGTACAACCGCAGGTGATTTGCGGTCCGGCCATGGTCCAACCGCAGGTCACTTGCGGTTGGGCATTTTTTGGGGTTTTTTTTTCGTTGAATAATTTTCTATTTTTTATATGATTTATGATTTGTTCCATGAAATAATTTGTTGGGTTTTGATTTATATAATTTTTTAGATTTATTTGCATAATTATTTTTGGAATTGAAGGATTTAGCATTAGAAATTAAGATTAAGGATTTAGCATTAGAAATTAAGATTAGATTTGGCCTTAAATTAAGATTAGATTTAATTTGGTGTTAATCTAGAAAATTAAGATTAGATTTTGCATTACAAATTAAGATTAAATTTATTGCATAAATAATAGATTCGCATATGAAGTTATGATGATTATTAAATTTAATACTGATAACATTGCAGGATATTGGAAGTTACAATCCGGATGGCCATGATTACACCTCGGATTTCATTGATGGCGTGAAATACACTACGGAGTTGCAAGCATATGAAGCAGCCACTGAGATTGCAAAGGGTTTTGGGTTTTATTTGGTGAGGGCATCGAACAAAAAAAATAAGAATGAAGGTACTTGGCGACATTACTTACATTGCACTCATGGTAGGAAGAAGAAGTCGAAGGAACCTGATCCGAGTAAGGAAACGAGGCCTCTTACATCTAGTGAAAAGTTGGGGTGCGAGTTTCAGATCAAGCTTGAGCGGTCAGGTGATGGATATTGGTTGATCCTAGGGGTGGCAAATACAAAGAATCCTGGTGCTAATTTGGGTTTCCACAATCATCAGTTGGAGCTATTTCCGGAGGGATCAAAGGGAAGGGATGTTTTGACTACAGAGGACAAGCAATACATCAGAGAGCTGAGATCAGCCGGTGTCCCACCAAGGAATATCCACAAGGCAGTGAATGACAGAAAAGGTGCAAATGGAACACACAACAGAAAGCAGATTTATAACGAGTGTCACAAGATAAGGAAAGAAGAGCTTGGCCAGATGACAGCCTTACAGTATACTTTCCACATGGCGCAGGAGAAGGGTTACTATGTGCAGTATATGGACGATCGTAACATGCTTACACACTTGTTCCTAGCCCACCCCGAGTCAATATTGATGTTGCGAGCTTGGCACCATGTGATCGTGATAGATGCAACATACAAGACCAATAAGTATGATATGCCTTGGGTTGAGATTGTCGGCATGACACCAGTGGGATTGAACTTTGTCATTGCATCTGCAATAGTGTACGACGAGACGAAGGAGTCGTACCAGTGGCTTCTGACGCATTTGCAACATCTTCTTGGCCCCATTGTTCCAGATGTGTTTGTCAGTGACAAGGCAGGAGGATTGGTTGAGACCGTGGGGGTAATGTTTCCATCATCGACTCATATATTATGTCTTTGGCATATGGATAGGAATGTGAGAGCAAAGTGTCTAACGGAGGTGCGAAGGACGACTCATTGTGGTATAGATGCAGCCAAACCGACAGTGGATCATATCATGGCGTCTTGGCAACGTGCTGTATATGCATTGACAGTGGAAGACATGGATACTGCCTTAGAGAATTTCAGACGTAGTTGGGGAGTACAGTACCGACGTCTTTGGGGGTATATGACAGCTGAGTGGTTACCAGTTAGACACATGTGGGCTAAATGTTATACCAATCAACTGCGGCATTTGGGTAACACAAGCTCTAATAGGGTTGAAGCTGCCCATTCCTCCTTCAAGAAGTGGCTTCAATCATCTACTGGCGCAGTCGACACGGTTAGTAATCTAATAAATCTTCATTGATACACACATAAGTTTTAGTAGTCTCCTAATTGTTCTTCATTGTTTGTAGGTATACAAGAAGAACGATAATTACATTGAGGCTCAACACCTTCAAATCAGGAAGCTGCTAGAGGATTCCCGACAAAAGAAGCTGCTCCGAGCGGATGGAAAACCATTTCGAGAGTTGAATACGAAAGTCACTCTAGAAGCTCTGAGGTTGATGTTGTTCGAGGTAGCAGTGGAAGGGGAACCTTGTACATGTACGTTTCCTCCTACCTATGGTCTCCCATGTAGATGTTCCATTCAGTTAGCACGACGTGAAAATCGGGATTTCGCCTTGTATGATGTGTTGCCATTCTGGACCGTTATCAACTATCGTGAACCTCCTACTCGGCCGGAGTGGGATGACCATAGTGATTACCACCGTGGTGTGTTCCAAGGTCTAGTACAGGAGGTTCTTGATAGAGGCGACGAGACCATTCGAGGTGCAATCGGCCTACTCCGGAGCCATCTTCATCCTGAAAATGATGGCATTGATGAACCGTATGGGGGACAGCCACGCCCCGGTCGCCCAAGGACGTCCACCACTCGAAACCTGTCTCACTTCGAGCATGTGGAGAGGAGACGAGGGAGGAGAAGTTCAAGACTTCCGACTGCAACTCCGGACAATGATGGAAATACAGGTAGATTAACTTTTTCTTTTAGTTGTGTTCAATTGTCCTCAATATGGTGTACAACTAATCTATTTTTATAAATGAGATAGGTGGTGCCCCGAATGTGAATGCACAAACCAACTTCGAGGATGAGACGGAGCCGATCCATAATGATACAGGTTAGAAATTATATTCCTAATTTCGGGTAAACATATAGTGTAACTCTTTGTATTAATTTATTCTATTATGTTCTTCATCTAGATGGTGCACCGAATGGGAATGCACAAACCAACTTCGAGAATGGGACGGAGCCGGTGATCCATAATGATACAGGTTAGAAATTATATTCCTAATTTCGGGTAAACATATTGTATAACTCATTGTATTAATTTATTGTGTTATGCTCTTTGGCTAGATGGTGCCCCGTGGAGGGTTGCTCGGATTCCCAATACTAGTTGGAAGAATTACCCATGGCTACATTGTTTGGAATCCTACGTGCAACGACTAGTTCGTGGTTGGTTCAACCCTATTCCAGATGGACACTGTGGATTTCGAGCTATATCACAAGCAGCTACTGGGGACCAAAGGAATTGGCCACAAATGAGACGCGCTGTTCTAGAGGAGCTTGAATCCCGTCCTGAGCTTTATAGAGACTACTATGATGGAATAGCAAATGGAATAGAAAATGGCATTCGACGTTGCAGGTGGGCATCAACAAGTGGCTGTGGACCTTCCAACTGGATGGATAATGCGGAACTCTTCGTCTTCGCCACCTTGCATTCATGGGCCATCGTTGTATACAGTCAAGGCGGTCGTTATACCGTGCTACCTGTGACGGCCCCACCAGGAGTAACAAGACCACGTGGGATCTTATCACTACATTTTACGGGGGATCATTGGGTGCGACTTGACTTTCGACATGGTCAAGTGCCCATGCCTCCAATTAATGGCCTTTGGCCTATTTTTCATGACCCTAGTGTCAATGGGTGGGATCAATTCTTCTTACATGAGCGTGCGCTTTATGATAGATTGAACCCACGGGGATGAAGATTGGAAGTGTATTTACGAATTGTATAACTCTCTATTGTTGAACCATTTAGTAATCTACCATGTTGATTAACTATTTTAGCAATGCACTGAATGTAACTAAAGTAAAAAAAAAAACAAAACCGTCTCAATTCAACTACAAACGATGAAACAAATAAAACACACAATAGTCTCAGTTCAACTACAAACGATGACAAATAAAAAACACAATAGTCTCAGTTCAACTACAAACGATGACAAATAAAAACACAATCGTCTCAGTTCAACTACAAACGATGACAAATAAAAAACACAATCGTCTACTGAGGCGGCTGCCCTACCAACTGGTCGTACAACTCGAAAACCCCAGCTACCATATCATAGAACTTACCACCGTCCTCCTCCCACTTACTCCGGTCCCTCGTCAGCAACACGGGACCTAAACGATCCACAATCTGCTCTCTCAACTGTAAAAATAGAAAACAATGTTAGAATAAATAACAAATGTCCTTTATATTTGGAAAAGCAAAAGAAAGTCATAACTAACCTGATGAACTAGTAGTGGTCGAGGCTGAGGCTCCCCATCAGTGGGGTGGGTGATCCGTGGATGCGATCTAGTCAGAAACCAGTCAACGTACTCCTCCACGATCTCCGATGGGTGCTCGCACGGCCGAGAAGCAAAATCCAAATCTAGACGACGAGCTGCCACGTTATCCCACAACTGATTCACCCACAGATCCCAAAAGACTATGTAACTGCTGCCGGAAGCCGGGCGGTACTGGTCATGTGGTACCGTCATAGCACCGGGGATAATCTGTCGGTATCCAAACTGGCGCAGACAACGTGAAGGATCGTATCCCTCAGCAATGTCAGAAAAGCGAATGGGGCCAGTATACAAGGAGCGGGGTATATCTGTGTGGCCATCTCGTCCGTACGGAGTCCAGGTCACATCATCAGCTGAAAGCTCATCCAACAACTGTCCATAACGTGCTAACCTCTGTCTAGCCTCATCCCCACCTGACAAACGGGGAGAAATCCACGAGGAAGCACGAGGTGCATCCAGAGACTGTGGCAGCTGGCTCGGACGAAAAAGAGGAAAGTACTCATATATCCAAGCCTGAAGCAGGGTCAAACAACCACAAAGACCCTTACTACCCGCTCGTGTGGCCACTCCCAACTGTCTGTAGAGATAGGCTAGTGCACCAGCTCCCCAAGCGTAATTAGTCAATCGTCGATGATCCTTCAGAAACAAGTTGATCGCAGGACGAAGGCGATCACGACTCTTATCCACAAAAAGCGTGGATCCCAACAACACAAATAGGTAACACTGCACCTCCATCTCCTTAATCTTCAGCTCTCCCCCACGCACCAACAATCCCTCTGCATGCATAGCACCATTATCGTACCACTTAGACTTCCACTTACCACCAACCTAAGCATCCACCGAAAGTCGAACTAGACCACCCATGTCTGACTTAAGAGTATCCTGCGACGCCTCATCTACCATCAGCTCTCCGTCAACCGGTATCCGAAGAATGTGATGCACATCGTGTAGAAGGATCGAAATCTCTCCAAACGGCATGTGGAAGGTGTTTGTGTCCGGCTGCCACCTCTCCAAAAATGCCGACAGTAGAGCCATGTCTAAATGCTGCATCATGCACCCTGTCAAGTGAGACAATCCTGTGGCTTCAACCATCTCCTTGGAACCCTCTGCACTCCACTTATATCGCCTCAAAGTCTCTACAGCTCTCGGCCTATGGAAGCCGTCCAACACTCCACGGTCCTGCTCAGGGGAATTCCACAGTACAAAGCCAATGTGACCTCCAAAGCTAGGGATCACATTGGGAATCACTGGTCCACCTGAACACATCGGAGACTCGGCTGTAAGAAACTACGACATATCTTTCCTCGTGGTCTTCCTCTTCCTATTTCCATCTCCGCCATCCTCGCTACCAGGTCTGGACGCATAGCGTCCATCGGGCCCACGGAAGAGGGAGGAGGCAGTAGAAGATATCCCGACCCGCGCCGTCTTCCCCACGCCTAAATCAGCTTGAGGTGGGGCATCCCCAGCCTCAGCATCACCAGCACGATCACCAGCATCATCACCAGCATCTGGGGCATTCCCAACCTCAGCATCACCGTCATCATCATCATCCTCGTCAATGGAATCACTCCAATTAGCCTGCCATACCGGTGCGGTCTCTGGTGTAGGAGTACTGGTAGTACCTTGACTAAGAGACAACTGTCCCACAGTAGGGTGGCCGTCAGGACGCACTACATCCGCCTTCTTCTTCTTCCTTCTAACCTTAGGTGGATTTTTTTCTTCATTTTCCTTCCTACCAGTCTCCGTAAGTCTACAAGCACGACCTTCCATTCTCTCCTTATTTCTCACCTTAATCATATCCGGTTTACCCATTCCATGTCCAGACATCTTCAAAAAAAAGTTTTAATTATTAATAATGGATTATTAATAATAGAGTACATAAAGTAATTAATTTAAGATTTTCATAATTAAAATTGTAAAACTAATAGTTTGAACATTTATGTTACGTTCTATGTAATAATTATTTACTTTTAAGTATATAAACGAATTACTAATAATTCAGTAGATAAACAAATCACTTTGAAATTTTGATTATTAAAATGATAAAAATATATTTTTAATTTTTTATAATGTTCTTTAATTTGTTATCATTAATTAACATTTATCGTATAGGTTTTTAAAATTTTTATATCATTATTGACAAAATATATAACTAAATTATTTTTATTAACTATAGTTTTAATAATTTTTATTATTATAAACACTAAAAAAAAGCTCTACAAAAAAAATTGGCCTAACCGCGGTCAACTCGCGGTTGAACCGGCGGTCAACCGCGGTCAACGCGCGGTTGGACCGACGGTCAACTTGCGGTTGACCGCCGGTCCAATCGCTTGTTGACCGCGGTTGACCGCCGGTCCAACCGCTTGTTGACCGCGGTTGACCGTCGGTCAAAGCGCGATTTGACCGCGTTCAGGCCAAATTTTTTTTTCCCGGCGTTTACCTTCTTCTCCGGCGAGGCTGGGGCGGGTGGGCGACGACGCGACGAACGGCGGCGACTCGATGAGGTCCGGCGCGGCGGGCGGCAACTCGAAGAGGCTGGCGGCGACCGGTCCGTGTCAAAGGGGAGGAGGGGAGGTCGTCGCCGGCTGGGTTGCAGAGGGGAGGAGGGGAGGTCGGCGGCGGGTTGGGTTGCAGAGGGGAGGGTCGCGGGTGAGAGGAGGAAGGAAATTTTTTTTTTTTTTTTTAAAGGGCGGGTGAGGGTAGCAGGTGAGAGGAGGAAGGAGAATTTTTTTTTATTTTTGCTAAGGGCTTGTTTGTTTAAGGTCATTTTGAGTTTTTGTTTAAGGGTATATGAGTAATTTTAGATTTAAGTTAGGGCGATGTTTAGCAATTCTTAGAGCGACATTTAGTGATTCAGTAACCAAATACTCCCTGCGGCGTAGCCACGGGTATTGATTCTAGTTCATTTAACAATCGCGAACCATCTAACCATCGAATTGACGATAGTGCGCCATGTGAGCACCATAATTGCGTTGACCCAAAACTCACCGAACACATGACTAGACAACAATGTCACATTTAGAGCACGAAGGAAATAAGTAAGAAAAGAGGCCATAGATTCGGAGTTGGGAGTGCATTGGCGGCAGATGGAGAAACGGAAAGAGCAAAATTCCAACTAAGAATTTGGGTCAGGATACTGAGATTGAGGAATCCTAAGCCCAAGACGTAACCATGGTTTCAACTTTCAAGTTTCAACTTACTTAGGACGTGACACGTAAGCCACTTGCTACGCTTCCATTTCGCACCACACAAACTTCCCACCTCAATCCGAAAACTGGAAGGACCCTCTCTCTCTCACTGCTCTCTCAGATCGCTGGAGTGGGGTTTCGATTTCCCCCGTTCATTTCTGCCAGTCCAGCTGTTGAATCAATTCCTATCGGAGTGTCGAGGTGAAGTCTAGGAAGGGAGAGAGGGAGAAAGGTCATGGCTTTGGCAAGCGCTTCTTCTTCCCAGGCAATCATATCATCAGCCAACGCCTGCTCCTTCACAGCTTCAAACAGGGGATGGCCCAGATTCCAGAGCGGCAGGCGGCCAAGTTCGAAGCTTTTCACCGTCCGAGCTTCTTCTTCCGAGGTCGATTCCGATTGCAACACCGAAGAATGTGCTCCTGAGAAGGAGGTGAGAGTTGGGCTCTATCCAAAATCGATAATTTAGCCCTTCTTTCGCAAAACAAGTCTGCAGTTTTTTGTGCTTCTCTCGTTCGTGCCTGTGAGGTGTTTGTTATTATGTCTAGCAGAGAATTTAGTGGCTGATGCGATTGCTGTTTGTGGTCTGTGGGTTGGGATTCGTTAGGTTGGGAAGATAAGCATGGAGTGGAAGGCCGAGGAGAAAACCAAAGTGGTGGGAACATTCCCACCTCGCACGCGCGGTGGTCGGCAATACACAGGCTACGTCGAGAAAGATACCGCCGGCCAGACCAATATCTACCCCGTCGAGGTACTGTTTGTGAATCGTGCTGCACTTGTTGTGTCCCTATAGATAACATGAACCATCCAATTTCAATTTTCAACCCTTATTTGGGTGGTTGTTTTTCTTTTGGGTTGCAGCCGACGGTTTATGTAGCCGAGAGCGCTATAAGTTCCGGGGCAGCAGGTTCTTCATCCAGCGGAGCAGAAAACACAGCTGCGATCTCCGGCGGACTTGCCCTGATTGCCATCGCTGCAGCTTCGTCGATTCTGCTTCAGGTCAACAAGAACGCACCACCGCCTCAAGTGCAGACAGCTCAATACAACGGTCCATCTTTGACATACTACATCAACAAGTACAAGCCACCGGAGGTCGTCCAAGCTGCGGCGGTGCCGACGGAACCGGAGTGTGCTACGCCACCTGTGCAGACAGAATCTGCTGCAACAGAAACAGATTCCGCTGCATCAGAAGCTCCTCAGGTAGAGGTTAAGTCAGAGATCCAGCCAGAAGAATCATCAACTGCAGCCGAGAACTCTGCGTCTTGAGGCTAACCAAGTTTTGCTCGATTGCCACAAACTTTTATCACACCTGTACCCAGCTGATGTATAGATATTTTATCATTGTATCTTTCGTATCGTGAATGAGAAGCAGAGATTATCGTGATATGCAGTGTGTTGTTTATTCGTTTTTACTTTTTAGTTCGTTGGATTAAAAGATATCTCCAACACCAAATTAGGTTCAATTAGGATTGACTTATGCATGAATAGAGATTGAAAACTCGTGTTCGTCACTTCACTTCCAATCTTAAATCTTATACCTCATTCTGTTTCTACAATTCGTCTATTGTAGGAGAAGTAAATAGGACACATTATGAAATCTGCGATGAAGAATGGTTTTTGCAAGGACCTTACCTTGATCATTCATCAAGATGTAATGGACTAATGGCGTATTGCCCAACAAAAGTACACGGATGAATACACCAAATTTCACAGGCAAAATGGATGGCAGTAAAGCTAGAATACAGACCTCCCATTGTATTGCAGAAGCATAAGGCGTAGTAGCAGATAACCGAGATGGCGGTGCCTGGTAAATTAGTGTACAAAATCTATTTGGACCAGTGGTTCTCGAAGTTAGCAGGGTTTCATGCACTTCCCTGAGCTAAGGTGGAGATGCTAAACTTTGTATACATCAGCGTTTTTGCCAGATTCTGCCAGCAAACTACGGTCTCTCACGCATTTTTGCCCTGGCGAAAAATACTCCAGCCACCAAACCTGAAGAAAAAGGAGGGAAAGACGTGGTTTAGAAGTGACATTCTGCATATGCACAGAGAGAAAGGGGAAGTTATGAGAGAGAGTATATGAGTACATACCGAAGAGGATGCTAGCAGAGTTCTCCAAGCTTGTAGGTACTTTAAACAACAGGATGCCAGCAAGAGATAGAGGAATCTTGTTCAACGATCCAACTAGGCTGCAGAGATTTCCAACCCAAAGAAAGAAAATCGATGACGAAACATGATACCTTAGTTTGATGTGTAGCAATCCACATTCACTATTTGTATGTTACCTGTATGTGGTAGCCCCAGTCTGGTGAAGAAACCACATAGAAGTGAAGCTGATAGCAAGACCCAGGAACCCACTCAATGTCATTATTAGCCAGAAGACTGGTAATCTCAAAAGGGGACTGTTGATATGAATTCGGAAAATTAGTTACACAATGCAAATGCTCCTCTGAGGAATATGAAACAATAACCGAAGAAAGGGGGTTTAGGAACGCGAGTTCAGCATCGATTTAACCAAACACCATTTTCCCACCGCTGGAAAAAACTAACTTATGAAAGGTGACGTTGGAGAAGATGAAAGAAGGAAACTCACGTTGTGGTGAGGTAGTCCACCTCATTGAATAAAAATATAAGAACAAGGCCCAGGGGAAGAGAAAGAGTGTTGTTGAGCATGACCATTGAGAACTCGTTTAGGTTCCCAGATCTGGTAACTTGCTTCGCAGTGTCCATCACCCTACGTAGAGTGAGCTGCAGTAACAGACTAACAGTAGAGAATGAGAATCACAAAGAGAACAGTCACCAGACTTCCAACCAATCATCACTAATTTCCCCCCTTCTACATTGGAGTTCAGAGATTCAAGTTTTTCACTGCAGATGAGGTAGGACTTGTATGACTTACTTAGCTAAGTATTTCACCAAAGCCTTTGACTTATGTACTCACCGAATATGATGCAGTCAAAAAGCAGTTTATGATTTGCCATGTGTAGCCAACGGCATGAAAAGATAGATCGGTGAGGCCTCCAGAAATGGCTGAAACAATCTGCAACCAGCAAAAATTTATGGTCTAGTTGGACCATTGAACAAAATTTATGGCTGAAACCTTCAGCAGAGCCATACATGAGAAGTGACTAAGTCTAAGAAGGTCATCAAGAATTTTATCAAATCTATGGTCATCCCATATTGAAAGCAGAAAGAAAGGAGATTATGAGGCTTCAGTGTAAGGGGAAATTTTGAACGATGATCTTGCAAAAGCATCCAAAAAGTTATTAGTCTCTCCCAGGCTCTCCACTCTTAACACTTTCTTCAATCCCCTTTTCTTCCCAAAAATGCATTTAGGGAAAGAACATACCATTAAGAATAAAGCCACCCACACTCTATTATCATGGTGCTTCTGGAATAGATACATCTCGCCTACTGCAGTGATAACATTAGTCACGTTCTTCAAAACTGTGACCATGGCGACATTGATATACTTCAAACTGCAACATCACACAAAACAACAGTCAGGAACAAGATTCAAAACGAACCAACTTTCCTGTGGGAAAAACTAACTCTCATGATGATGAATTACCACACCTAAACATGCTTGTTATGAGCATTCCGACAAATATGACATTAACAGGCAACCAGACTTTGATTAGTCTCCATGTTAATGGTTCTGTTGAGATTATACCCAGGAAGCTCAACGTTGATACAATGATTACTGAAATAAAGTTCTGCATCATGCGAGAAAGGCACCATGAGTTGGTCAGAAGTACACTAAAAGACAAGTACTCCTAGTTTTGCATTGATTTAGTTTCAGAATTTCACCTGGTACAACATCAAAGATATACCAGCATTGAAGATTTGAAGTTATAGCTGGAAAGCACAAATTTGTTGACCAGTATCATGCTGCAGGAAGAAATACAATATGCTAGGCCAGCTAATAAAGCCTGATTATGCACCATAAGTTTGTTACTACGTATAACCTTATCTACAGGCTTTTCTGACTTTCCATCTTCCAAATCAATCTCTCCATTTACATGTGACTTCATTGCAAACGGTGACCTGTCCCCACAGAAAATAAGACATCAGACTGGAACTTATTATTGCAGATTAAGCTTTATAATACCAACAAATAACGAGAGTACAAGAAGCAAATTTCTACATATGAAACTGAGAAATGAGAATCCCTTTTTTCATAGGTATACTAGTATGTCCAAACTGTGAGTAAGTACAGCAGTGCACAAAGATTCTGAGTCATTAGATTGACCTTTACATTAAATAAAATTATACTGAACATCCATTCTAAGCAAAGGCTGACCTAATTGAACGTTTCCACACAAAATATGAGTATGAGTACCTGTTGACTGCCTCTCTTCTTACTGGACTAGACCTCTGCTCTACCACCAAACTGGACTCGTGGTTTTTGAAGCTTCCTCCACCTCGGCTAACTTTACCAGCTCCCTCTACCAGATCTCTTTCATAAAGAGAATCAGGAGTATCGACGGAAAGAGACCTACAACAGATAAGCAGTGGAATCAAATGACTCCCATAGAAGCAGAGGCTAAAAATCCAGATAAATGCACATCGTTAGAAGAAGGACCATTTGAGTTCATTACTCAGGAACTTGAACTATCATTGACAATGAAAAGCGAATTATCGTTGCTCATTCATACACAGGCAATCTTCAGCATGGGATTTTTGGTCGACTTGAGCATTCCTCTACCAAGCCAAATAGGGAAGTATACAAGACCATAGTTTCATTCCCGGATTTCTAATTCAACTCTCTTCAAAGTTCAGACCAATTATATCCAACCACACAGCTTTTCTTCGTCTTTACATTAGAGTATCAATTAGAGATTCTCCGCCATCAAACCATGACCAATTCCAACACCATGGAGACTCCATTATTTCCTTCTCGAGAACCGTTAAATTAAGGGGCAAGCATTTTTAACTAAAAAAACATTCACTAACCACAACCCAGCTGGGAATCAATCCGAAGGCAATGGCTCAAGCAGCCCCTAGAAAAAGTATGAAAGGATGATTATATGAACTCTGAAGCATTTCAAGCAACCAACTTTCAGCATGAACATGGAGTATCTACCATCAGTCAAAAGACCAGACCAAAAAGACCATTGGGGATTCGTGCTTTTGATTCATTCGAGGAAGAAATCGAACAAAAAGTGCAAAAGGTTACTAGAAACAGAAGACAAAATAAATTAGCTTGTACCCATTAAAATTCAAAAGTTCAACATTTCAAGGTCCAGAAGAAGTAACAGGCGGGCAACCAGACTTCAATTGACCAAAATCTCCCGCCAACCCAGTTGACCTCTGAGAAGCCGATGATTAAGAATGAAGAAAGCAAGGAAATTTCAGGGTACTAATCAAGAGAGACCCTTGTGAGGTTTTGAGCAGCAAATTGACAACACTTGATCTGCTGGTTCAGTGGGTGGGGAGTCGGAATTGGGTAGAGAGGCCTTTTCAGCACGGGATGAGTTGAAGCTGACCCGAAGAGGAACTCCACTACGCAAATATGAATTGAGAAGAGATGAGAGCGCAGAAATTTATCCCCTTCAGGCCTTCACCTTGTGCTGCTGCACTGTCTATCTGTCTGTGTCTCTCTTTCTTTGCTGCTTCCGCTTGCTCTTTCTACCTTTTTTCAGTATATTATTCAATTTCTCTCCTGCTCTGTTTGAAATGGCTACACAAATCATAAATTTGATTCGGTTCAGTTTTCCTTGTTAAGACGTCTGCCTTTGATTGGACGAGTGTTTGCTACTTGCTAGATTACGCCGCTCCAATGGCGCAGTTTTAACTTTTAACACTCGTGGACTTGGAATTCAAGTGAAAAAGAAAGGGAATAAAATTGTTTTCCGTCTAAATAAATTTCATAAATTTAGAAGAATTGAGGTGGATTTTCAAATGAATTTTACGAGTATTTTATTAATTGGCGCCAACATTTTATATTTTCGCGTCTAACCTTATTCGCTCAGCTGTTACACCTAATATATAATCATTGCTTGGTTCTTACACCCCTTTTGCATGCTTTTTGGGCGATTCCCAGTTTCATTCTCCTGCTAAACTGCAACGCTTCTACTATAAACATCAACCATAGCCCATAATATTAGATTGATATATATGGTACATCGGTACACGTTTGCCCCTTACATTTTGTTACTTGTGGTTGCTTTTTTATCGAGATTGTTGTTCTTTATTTTTTAGTTGTTATGATCTATGTTCCTTTTTCTTTGCTTGATATCAATGGTCAATCCATGCTTAATATTGTGTTGATGGTCTTTCTTGTTTGATAATACCCTGCTTTTGATGACGAGATCAAGATCCCTTGACTCGAGAGAAAAATGGTTTGCGTGAAGATTTCTAAAAGATGAAACTTCAATGAATTACTATTTTTATGAAAATTGATTTATGATTTGTTTGATGAGTTGGATAATAATTATGATACTTTTGGTTTTAGAAGATGGATTTTCAATGAGTAAGAGAAATGTTGTGTCGGTTGGAAATTAATAACGATATAGTTTAAAAAATTTAATTTATTCAATTCTGGACGTATTCGAAACATGATTTGAAAATTCAATCTAATTTCTTTATAAAAACTTGAAGATGATATTCCAAGCATGGGATTTCGTTTGACAATGAATTCTACAAATGAATTCATTCTAAAATGAAATGAATTCCCCATTCATTTAGTTCTAAACGATCTGTACGTCACTTTCAGGTTCTATTATTTTTCAACTTAAGCTTTTTTATTTTATTTTCATATATTGTTGTTGTTTTTCGGCGACAAAACTCTTTGTGTTTGAAATCAATGAATGCACCTTGACTTCTCTGAACAATGATTAATGAGACGGTTCACTCCTCTCTGAACAATGTTCGAACAAGGGTGTTTGATGTTTTGATGGTTTTTTTGTGAACAAGCTACGCTAATTACACCTAGTGCCAGTGGCGGACCCAGGATTCTCGTATAGGTGTGCCAGTCGATAAAATTAAATAAAATAATAAATAAATTTTAATTATGTTTTACTGTGAAACACAGCAAGAAGTGGGATCAAAAGAGGTAAAGGGAACTCTAGAGATTTTTTATAAGATAGTAGTCCATATGCAACCGGACTCCCGATGAAATAGCATTTTTTGTCACTAGCTGGACAACTATGTGAAAGCTATAAGGATAAAAAAGAAACGAAACTTATTCAGGTAGAGAGAAAAATGAGAAAACTTCCTTACGATTACCCCTTAAGACCTAAGAGCAATAAACCATTGCGTCTAAATGCTTAAGCAATGGAAAGAACCCCAAATTTGTCATAAGTTAACTAAAATTTAAAATAAATCATATATATTTACGTATTTTGGAAACTTTATGACACCAATTTCATCGTAGTGTATTAAAGGTGTGTCGATTACAATTATTGAAGGTGTGTCGAAAGTTCTAAATTCCAAAAAATTATATCGACAAAACATGGGTCTCTCAAAAAATATTCGAGCGAAGGTGTGTCACCTCCCTAACACATGGGTCCGCCCCTGCCTAGTGCAAGGTAGGTAGGCGACATTGGTATTTGGTGTTTGACCCCCTTGCATGACATCGTGCTTGACATGTGAGTGGTGAGACCCCTTGGGTGCTTGACACCCTAGTTGTTGGGTCTCAACACTTATCCAAACTTCTCCACCATCGTGCCTACATAGGTCGTTGGGTCTCAACACTTAGCCAAACTTCTCAACCATCATGCCAAACTTCTCCACCATCAAGGGGGGTCAAGCGTCGACCACCTATGTAGGCACGATGGTGGAGAAATTTTTTTATACATTGGTTACTTTTTATGAAATAATTACTTAAATATTGTTTTTTAAAATATTTATTCATATATTTATATCGTATAAAAGAGAACACATGTTTCTATCTTTGGCACTGCTGCTACTCACTAGATCCACTTCCTACATGTTTTCCCCCTCTATTTTCATAGCACTCATTCTTAAACATTATTGTCAATATTACTTTATATCTATAATCTATTTATCTCTCAATTTTCTCATAACTCGTCATACCACACTATTTCTCCCACTATTTTATTCTTAGTCTCAACATTGACACTAAACAAGGCCCAAAAAAGTAACTAAATGTTTCTTTTCCTTTTCTGGTTGTCAACTTCCATGATTTTTTATAATTATCAATTAAACAGGTTTCTATTTTCAATTTTCTTGTTGTTGTAGTTGTACATTTGTTATGTATCATGGTTCATCTTCGTTGGAAGATTAATCGTCTTTGGATTTCCTTCGGGTTCTCCTGAGTTTTGACACGACTTTGCCTACTGTTGACCTCGATCATGATCCTCATGGTGGCCATGACAGTCATGGTCTTGAGACTTCACCACCAAGTACGCCTTCTGCAACATTTTCTTCTTTGGCTGGCTCATCGTTCCTCTTCTCATTTTTCTATTGGGTCTTCGTCTACCTTTACCACCAGCTCTTCATCAGATTCATCCTCGCGTTCGATGTCTCCAGGTCCCCACTCTCTAGTTGAGTCTTTTTCTGGTCCACCCTCTGTTGGTTTGGAACTCACCACTACCTGCACCTCAATGCTCTACTCGTGCAAACCTTGGCAAGCCACCACTGCAGCTTCATGACTACATAGGTTATTCCGATGACTCTATTCCTGCAGATTCCATTTATGGATCCCCACATTATCACTTTGTCAAGGGAAATCCTCATTAGGACTCTGCCATGCAAGGTGAGATTCAAACTCTTGAAGCTCAGAACACATAGGAAGTTGCTCCACGATTTCCTGACGCTATTGTGATTGGAAGTCGCTGTATTTTTATGATTAAAACTAAGGCGGATGGCACCCTAGATTGATATAAGGCTCGCGTGGCCGCTTATGGTTTCCACCAGGAATATGGTATTGATCATGATGAGACATTTGCTCTTGTTGCGAAGATGCAAACTGTTCAGAGCCTCTTTATTGTTGTTGTGGTGATGCGAAAGTGGTCGATTGTTTAGTTTGACGTTAAGAAAGCTTTTTACATGGTGATTTGAAGGAAACCATTTACATGGAATGTCTGGCGGGCTACTCGAAAGGGGTCGGGTGTGATGTGCTAGCTCTTATGTTATTTGTATGGATTGAAACAGGCGTCGTGAGCCTAGTTTGAAAATTTTCAGAGTACTATTATTTAAGCTGGCTTTGCAAAGTCATAATGATCCATCTATGTTTTTGCGTAATACAATTGATGGATAATTGTACAACTACTTTATGTGGATGACATGATTGCTACCGACAGTGATCGAGGGGCATCCCCGAATTGACCAAATCGTTGTATCTAGCCTTCAACATAAAGGAGCCCGGTGAAGTAACTCGGTCAGATGCAGGATTGTTTGTACGCAAGAAGAAGTATATTCATGATCTTTTGACTGTAACAAAATACAATTTGGCTCGTCCATGTAGTACTCCAATGGAACATAATTTGAAACTCGGTCGGGTAAGTGGAGATTTCCTGGCGGATCACACCTTATATCTAAGTGTTGTGCGTAGTTTAATCTACATTACTCATACACATCCAGACATAGCTTGCCCAACCCTGAACGGCGAAGAGACTGCGCCTCCGACCTCCTCCATCGACCATCTCCCTCCCCGACCCTGAAGGGCGACGCCGCCGCTCTACGCCGTCGCCAGCCATCCCCTGCGTCCGTCGCCTCAGCCTCCTCTGCTCGCAGCCAGCAGCCGCCAGCCAACCCGCCTCCTCTGTGGCCTGTGCGAGGGCAACCCCACCGTTGAGAGCTCCGCCGGCGCCATTCCTTTCCCCTCTATCGACCATCTCCCTCCCCGACTGCCGCGACGACGACGACCCTTGCTTAATTTGCCCCTGCTCTGCCACCGCTACAAAAACAGAGAGGTTGTTGTTCTTCCTCTGCTTCATTGGAGAGAAAAGAAATTGGATTTGGTGAGATGGGTTTGTCTTGGGAAGAAACTGGGGTTATGGTGCTGGTGGAGGGAGAATGATGAATTGATGATTGATGATGAATTGTTGGTGGGTGAGTTTCAATTAATGGGGTTCACGAGTCTGACGGGATAAGGGAAGTGGGAGTATAAATGGCTTGTTGCGGTTACCTCGGTTAACCGAGCAACTAACCGGTAGCCGACCGGTCGGTTGCCGGCTAACCGGTGGTTTCCGTCGGGTGGTTGGCGGTAGTCACTTCTGTTGCCGCGGTGAACCGGTAACCGACATTTCGGTTATCGGTTATAACCGATCTAACCGAAAATCCAGCCCTAATATTTATTACATTGGACAACTTGTGGTCGAAGGGGTTATTCAACTTCGCTTTCTAACCGACATTTCGGTTATCGGTTATAACCGATCTAACCGAAAATCCAGCCCTAATATTTATTACATTGGACAACTTGTGGTCGAAGGGGTTATTCAACTTCGTTTTCTAAGCACAAAGGAGCATACTGTAGATTTGTTGACGAAAGTCGTGTCCTCAAGCTAGACATTGGTACTTATTTTGCAAATTGATATTAAGAATTCTACATAAATTTTGAGGGATGGTGTTCATTATATTAGTGTATGGGCACCATTGTGTAATTGTACAGTTAGGCTTTGGAGTAGCAAACCACTATATATTCTACGGTAAAGTCACGTTGAAACTGGGCTCGTTTGCTTGTTGGATTTGAAAATGAAGGTTTTGAGATTCAAAAACCTTTGGATTTATGATGGATTTGTTGCATCATGGA